ATTATTAAAATAAATAATTTGTAATTCCAAATTCCTGGCAAATGCATATTCCGTATTGTTCTAGAATTTTGATGAAATCTATTTATATATTGTTTACATGTAATTGCTAAGTTAAGAGCTGGACTCGCCAAATTTCTTAAACGTTTGTCATTTTTCATTATATTCATATGATTCATTATATTTACATTAAAAACTTCATTTATATTGAAAAAATTGATGAAATTATTTCTCTCTAATCTATGTATCTATTTAAATCATTACGTTAAAAGTGCTGTTTAAAATTTTTGAAAATATAAGAACATTTTGGGACAAAGAAATTTGAAATTTCGAAATAAAAACAAAATCTCAAAAGCAATTGTTTCGTCAATACAACCAGATTTTTTTTTTATCATTCGAAACGCATGCTTACAGTATGCTTGTTAGTTCTCTCAAAAACTGAAATTTTGTGTACATTTAGCTCCGTATTTTCGAAACGGCTTAACCTGCCTTTCCAAAAATAAGCACCACTTCTCCTCATCATTACGAATTGAATGCTTTTCGAATCATTCAAATCGAGTGCTCCGTTCTCTCAAAAAACTTTCAGGCTGGACCTGCCTTTGCCAAAAACTAATCAGCACATCTTCCTATCAATAGTAATCGAACGTTTTCTGAACCATTCAAATCAGTTAATCCGTGCGCGCCGAAAACGTGGACAAAAAATTGTATCCATCACACACACATCATTTTTTCACAAGGTTATGTCCAGAAACCTTCAAAACGTGAAGAAATGCAAAAAAATTAAATTTCGATTTTCGTACGATTATATTAACTTACCACAAAGAGTTAAAAAAATGCATTTATCTCGATATAATTCACCTAAATCTCCTTTGTTCAAAAGTTGCTTATTTTCGTCGACGCATAATAATATCAATTAAGTCAGTGTTTTATTTTTGGTGTCTCAGGAATGTGATATGTTGTGTGTGCTAATTTTGTTTGAATATTAGCAATATTGTACAATAACGAGAACAGATTCATAATGTCTCAATGTAATTATTTCTCATGATGTTTGGCAAAGCCTGAACGCATCTAAATCTTAGCAATTTAGTCACAATTCGTAATTTTGACAGTCGAGCATTGTAAATTAATAATTAGAAGAAGATTATTAGAAAAAAACGTAATACTCAGATATTGTTTTGTTGACGATGACTATATGTAGAGCGGGGCTTAAAGGTCCGCGGAAAAACAGGTCAAGCACCAATATCTCAAAAGCAAGTGAAGTGTGTTTTTTTAACAATTTCATAAAGTAAAGGGATAATTATGTGTAATCTGTCATCGAATTAGAGTTAGATTAACGAATTTTTATATAACCTCTAAAATAGCTCAAAAGCGATTGGAGTAAAAAGGACCACCGAAACCTTTACTCTGATGAGGTGTAAGAAATGTAAGAAAAGTATTAATATCGTGCAAACAATAAGAAAATAGTAAATAAAAATGTAAAATAAGTTTAAAAAAGCAGTTATACAAGAAATAGATTAAATTAATAGTTATTTCAACACTGATGGAAAATTCTTCTGACAAAGTTCCATACAAAAGTTGTATCCAGTACAATCTTAAATAAAAAATGTGCCCATAAAATATGTATTTTCAACAAAAGCTCTATTTATCTTATTTGTGAATACTCTATTTCAAGAAACAATGATACAGATTATAATAAATTGAACAGAAATAACTGCCAATGAAGTAGTAAAATTTGATAATTGTTTTTTGATTATGATTTCTAATTTTGTTGTTCAACCTAATATTTAAACTACATCCCATTGATTGATTGAATAATGTATCTATTATTCTATAAAACCTTTTCAAAATTAAAAATAAAATGTAAGATTTTTTTGCCCTCCTGATTATCCATTTTACCTCATCTGGGGGGTAAAAAACGCACCAGGTGACAAATTTTTGAAAAATAGCAAAAAAAATATCTACAATGATGAATTAGCTGGGAGTTTTGCTGAACATAGTCAGATAGTTGCATATTTGATTTATGGTATTTGTTGTTCACAAAATAATTGCTCAAAGTCAAATTGGATCTTTGTTCCCCACCCTATCCTTCTAATATAAGCAGCATGTTGTAATATAGGTAGATCTGTAATATATCATATCAACCATAAAACCTTGACGATTTTAGAATTAGCAGAGGAATTTCGCAATAAGATTAATTTCAAGTTCAAATATAAATTGTTGCTGCATTTCTCATTATACTCCAATAGTATAAAATCATTACCAAATGTTTTAATTTTTACAATATATGTCGTTATTTTTTTTATGTAATATTTCTTTCACTGATGGCATATATTTTCGCCATGATAATATAATTTGTGATGATAAAATATTGAGTCCTTAAATATAAGACTAATACTTAGAATGTAGTTTGAAGTATAATATAAAACTAGTGATGTATGGCATTGTGCCTTAAGGAAAAGTGTTAGAACTTCCCATACCACAACGAAATGTTCGAGGAATATTAAATGTTTTCAAATAGATTATTATAATTACTGTAACATTGTTTAATATTGATAAGAATTATATAACTAAAATACGAAGTTAAAATTATTTATTTATAGTATATAAGTGAGTCTTACAACTTTGGCCAGAATTAAAATTGAAATATGAATTATTTTCGACATACAAAAAAAATTTAAAGATATGCAAAAATTTTCATTTTCGATTTTCGGCTCATACTATAATTTATCCTACGGAAAGTTAATTATAGTAGATATAAAAAGATTTTTCTAATTTTTTTTCTTCTTTCTGGCAATTGCGAAATATTTCTCCTGCCTATTTAATTAGAATACAAGCACGATGTCTTTATAAATACATAATCGTTTAAAATATCAGAGTGATGATAAAAATAAACCCGAATAGATATTTATATCGATTGTACGTCTGTGTCGCGATAATCACAGAGTTGTCCTTATGAATCAGAGAATAGAAATTCACTAGCATTAGCTGGCGTAGTGCGAAACAGTTGCCAAAATATTTTTAACTTAATACATGTAAGTGGATATAATTCAGTCAGGTGTACGCTTCTTGATTGATGTTCTAGAAAATGTATTACTTTTGTGAGAGGCTCTGCAGATTGAACTTGACACAATCTGGTATGTATGCCACAACCACGATTTCAATGATGACGAGACGAAATGATCAAATAAATATATATTTTGATCCTGAAGACTAGTTTTAATCACATATATAGTTTTAGATTAAGATTCTGATTATGAAAAAAATATCGCAATATTTTCCATAGCTAATTTCAGGTAAAATATTAATGAAAATCTAAGCCAATATAAAAAATCTGCGCAAATGCCAATAATCAATATTTAAGGATGCATGTAGGATAAGACGGGCCATAAAGGTCCAATTTGACTTGAAGTGATTATACTATTATACTTTATTATACTATTTGAACCAATTAAGATGTATCAAACACAACTATCGTACTATGTTCAGTAAAGGTCTCAGTTAACACCTAATATATAAATGTGTTTCTTCACTATTTCGAAAAAATTAGTCATCTGCCCCTTTTTATACCATAGGCAGAGTAAAAAAAACAGATAGGGGGCAAACAGATCCAATATCTTATTTTCAATTTTAAAGAGATTTTACGAAATAGTAGCTACAATTTTAACAAATGAGGCACATTTAGCACATGATTCTAATTATTGGAATGCGTTTCTTTACTATTTAAAAAAAATACCATCTGTCCTTTCGAGTCAGACAGGAGGCAAACAGATCCAATGTCTTATTTTTAAATTTAAAAGGATTCTACAAAATAGTAGCTACAATATTCAACCAATGAGCACATTTTTATAAACATAACACTGTATACAACCTTGATGCAGTATTTCGTCAGAAATTTTCATCAGCAGCATTTTCATTAATTTAATTTATTTCTTGTATATTGCTTATTTTAACCTAATTACTTAATTTAATATTATGTTCTTTATCGATTCAAAACTGTAATTAATATGTAATTATATTGAAATAATTTTAAAGTATTTCAATGTGCTTTTTGTGTTTTCAAATAATTTGTGAAACAAAATTCAGTTTTCTCTCTGTTACTTATATAGATGCTTACTCAAAAAACTTATTACAAAATATTAAAAAATTCATTATATATTATATTAAGTTTATATTGCTTCAATAAATGTGATTACCAAACATTTGCAATTTTTGTTTTGTTGAAAATTGTTTTTATATTTTTAGGTTCGGTAATTTAATTTTGTTCATAATTGTGCAAAAACCGACATATTTCCTAAAATTTTATGAAATGAATATTTAATTAAAATTTGTAATTCTAAATGTGAGTTATAACTAAGTTAAAGGATTTCTTGGAAATGCATATTCTGCATTGTTTTCGAATTTTGATGAATTCTATTTATATATTATTTACATGTAATTGCTAAGTTAAGAGCTGAATTGGGCGAAATTCTAAAACGTTTGTCATTATTCCGATTAATATAATGAGAGCTTTATGTACTCACAATCAGAACTAAATAATAATGAGAGCTTTATGTACTTAGAACTAAAGATATTTAATATTTATCATATGAATTTAACTACATATTTATTTATTATTTTACCATTAACGGGTTGACATCGCCGTTGCTCTGCAGGCTGGACGCACTCGTATTAGAATTCGGAGTCGTCGAAAGCCCAGAGCCTGGTGACCCGGGTTTCACATCCTTGATGGAACCCGAACCAGACCCTACGGATCCTGGCAGGTGACCACCCAGATGACTGGCGCCAACACCAGCCCCGCCGCTCGAAGATTTAATTTCTGTTTTGACGGATGTTTGCTGTTGCTGCGAATTCTGCTGCTGTTGCTGTGAATTTTGTTGCTGCTGCTGATGTTGCTGTGAGTGTTGTTTGGTTTGGTCGCCCGTTGATCCGTTGCTGCTGACTTTCTGTTGCGCTAGACGTTCTTGTTTCCTGAACTTTGCACGACGATTTTGAAACCAAACCTGGAAAATAATAGATGAATTAGTTTAAATTGAAATTGCACTAGAAAACGAACTTTTAAAATATTCCATTTCAACGTATTTAATTCTTCAATAAATAGCAACTTTTAAAACTGTGATGATGAAATTTTAAAATCTTGACCTTGACCATTATTCAAAATTTTAATTATTTTTTACAATTATACCTACTTCTGGTATACGCATAATATAATAATTTAGAACGTTTTTCAATACTATGAAATCAATCACCATAAAGAAATTTATGCTTTCAAAGCCGTTTTAAGACAACATTGACAAAAGGTCAAATTTTGGATCACATACCCACAAACACACATATTCCAATTTTGGTATCAAACAATTCTGAAAGACTTTTGTAAGTCGGATATTCTGTCAAAAACAAACTTCATCAGGAAGTTAATAATATGAATACAAAATATTTTAATATAATATAATCGAATAATATAAAGTAGGACCAAGTAGCTGACTCTAGAAAATTTTTACTCTTAATATAACTAACTGTAGAATTATGTAGTATGTAAGTGAAAGGAACAGCTAACACAAATTATATGAATGGTTTACCCATTGCAAAGCATGTCAAATGTAAATGTTCCTGAAGCATATTAATGGTCATTGAAAGCATAATCTGAAACTAATTTCCTACTTAAATTGAATTGTAATATTTGAAAATCCAAGGTTTTGATTTTTTATTATGGAGCAAAATTCTGACAATCATTTTTAAACTATGTTGTAGCATAGTTAGCAAGTTTAGTAAGTCGAGTCAGATTTCAAAAACTTTGTGGAAAAGTTTACAGCTTTGCCATAGGTTTGTATCGTATGTAGTTTCCTCTGAAAAACTGTTGAACCCTCAAATTTTAAAACTCAATTTCTATATTTTTTTGTTAAAATTGCTCTTTCTGCTTCTCATTTATGAACTTTTAATTAATATTGGAATAATATTTGAAAATCATCCTCTGTTGTAAAAAGCGTAGTTGGTGGTGTTATGGATACAGGTTCTAACATCATTTAGGTTTGTATTTTCATTATATAGAGTAGGGCGGGGCACAAAGGTCCAATTTGACTTTGAGCAATTATATTGTGAAAATCAAAACAAATAACACATGTCAAACAAACAACTATCTGACTATGTTCAGTAAAAATTCCAGATAATTCATCATTCTAGAAATGTGTTTTTTTGCTGTTTCTTTTTTTCAAAAAAACCTAATCCTCTTCATCCAATAGGTGGGGTAAATTAGGACAGCCAGGGACATACAGGTCTAATGCTTAGTTTAATTTTGAAGGCTTTTTACAAAATAATAGCTATATTATTCAGCCTATGCAAATATAAGAGCCCTGGGTGCATTTTTCATAGATATAACAATGTAGTTAAACTTGATCTGGTATTTCATCAAAAATTTTCATCAGCAGAGTTGGAATAACTACTTATTTAATTTTTCTCTTGTAAAATTAATTATTTTAATTTAAATTACCTTTTTATTTGCTATTTTTTATTTTTTACACATTTCCAGGGGTTAAGGTTTAGTTGGTCTCTTTTCTCCCACCCAGGTGTAAGCTTCTATATAGGTTATATAAAAACGGTTGATTTTAACTTAAAATTAACTATACATCTTATAAAACAATTAAATAACGTATACTTAAAAATTATATTAAAGTCGGGAAAACTAAGCAACAGTGCTCACAATCAAAACAAACAACAACGCAAGAAAATACTTTTGTCATGGATTTTTAAACATTGTTATTTATCTATCTTAATATCAAGTAACAGCGTCGTAAGCATCAAGATGGTGTCTGGTTATACATTTTTATCCCTCTACTTTCAAATATTGTTGTTAAAAAATTATTAACTTTGGTTTGGTTTTTGAGATACGGTGGTGTATCTTTTTGCCCGCGAACCTTTAAGCCCCGCTCTATCCTAGATGTTCTATAAAAAATATTTATCTAAAATATGTTTCCCTGGAAAACCTCGCACAACAAACTTTTCCTGAATCAAGTCAAGGGTTAACTTCGGGCAGAGTACCATGTTACTTTGTTCTATTATGGACAAAAAACAATATAAAATTCGTTCATCAAAAGTGTCAACTGTCGCTTGAAAATAATTTTGAAAAACGTTCAAAGCCACATGACTGAGCAAATTCATCGTCGTTCGTCGTTCGCTCGTAGCATCTGTGTACAGTAGGCGAGTGTACTCGTATAGCCAGCGGCCCTGATTAAAAGCATACATTGCAGCCAATCAAACAAACTCCACTGAACCATCAAATCATTGACGAGTTTCATTTTTCCCCGGCATAGTTATAATTGCATCACGTCTCTTAAAGTTTACAACATCGAAAATTAAACACTTTCCGCCATTCAAATAGAGACGCATTCTGAAATCAATTGCGAGACACGTGTAATACAGGAGTATGATCTGATGATGAATTCTACAATGCACCAAGAGCAGATTTTAATTGAAATATTTTACACACATAACATATCTAATTTTACTGATCGACTAATTAATTACCATATTAAAAATTGTGGTATTTTTGGAAAAATTAAGAGCCCATTACTTTCACCTCTGCAAAAAACTTTGCTAGGTCAAAAATGAACAACATCGCAAGGGGTCTACGACACAAAAAAGTTTGGGAACCTATGATCCAAATAATCTAATAATTATTGTCAAAAGCATAAAACCACCATCATCATAAATGTATTTTCATATTATAAAAAGGCAATAAATGCAGCAATGAGAAGTCCCTCAGCAACCCTTCAGCCTACATATTACCACCGAACTGATGTGTTGAAATAACACGAGAATATTTTGCATGCGATTTATAACTTTATCATCGTACATTGTGAATCGCATTGCAGTAACCCATTTAAAACTAACTGGGCTGGGATACTTATTACTCAAAATTTTAAACAACATAAAATTTAGTTTGTAATTTGTTTAATATAAACTTGAATGATTTTTTTTTTAAAGTAGCTGACACCCTTAGACAATAGAATTTAAAAAAATAAAGTACAAATCAACCATAGGGCTTACACTACATGGACTGCTAGTACTCATATGTTTTCCATTTTATAAAGTGTATAAAGATAAAAAGAAACTGCGAAGTCACTTAGTAAACGAGCGTTGCCGACAATCGTGAAAAACTTCCGATTGATTAAATGTCATCTGTCATATGTTTTATTTTAGTAATATATTGGCAATTGTGTGGATTGATAATTTTGTAAGAAATTATGTTCATAAAAAGGTAAAAACGGCCAAGAAACGACAGAAATTATAAGATTTAGATTATTATGCAGAAGAATTACTTGATCGGACATTTTTTGCCATTTTACCCTCAATTTTGACTTTAGAATTGTGTTCAGCAACAAAAACTAAAATGGAGAACATATGCCGCACACCAATACAGACAACTTTTTTTTATTTTGTGGACCTGTGTTATTATTGACTAATTACAATTAAAATATTGACAAAATCAAATTTACTAAAATTATAAATGCTAATTCAATAATTTTTTGTAATCCTATAAAGTGTAAGTTGAAAATATCACTATGTAAAGGTAAAACTTTTTGAAAACATAAACTTCTCTTTCAGGAAATTAATATCAATAATACTCAATGCTTACCAGCTATTGCTCTATTCCCATCGAGTTTTCTCATCTCATTGCCACTATGGGGCGCCTGAGTCTTTAGATCAGTTACTTGTCAAATAAACACGAAACCTTGTCTTATCATCTTGGAATTTGATGAAAGTCGGAAAAATTTAACAGGTGGCGTGTTTGTTTCTTTGCAAATTATTATGTGATATTCAGATATAAAAGTGCTGTGAGGATAATAGTATCTCGAGAAAAATAGATGCACATTGGAAAGATTGGACCACCAGTAATGCTCGAATTAAGTTCATTTAAAAAACGCAAAAATATCTATTTATACATGTAACTTACATAAATAGTGATAGAGTTATTGCACAATAAAATCTTTATATATTAGTCTATATATGTATGTATATATATATATATATATATGTGTGTGTGTGTGTACGTTAAAATATAAAAATTACATATAAATTTGCATATTTATTTATTTATATAATACATTTTCAAGCGTAAAAAGCTCTTTCGTACATTGGTATAAAACAACTAATTAAGTCAAAAATATTCCACAAATAGACAGGACATAGGTTAGGATAACTTCTAATAGACAACTTTTAAAGAACAACTAGTAAATGTCTCTAATCTAAAATGATAGACAAATTTTATTTCAAATGTAAATGAAAGTAAAGAACGTCTCAATCCTATTTGCTAAAATTGAATGCATTATTAACTTCTTGAAAAAGTATTGATAGAATAATAATAGCTACATTATTCAATCAATATGATGTAGTTTCATTATTAGGTTGAACATCAAAATTGAGAATAATAACCTAAATATGTATTTTTAAACATCATAATTAAAATTAATTAACATTGTTTTTCTTCAATTTATTATAATCAGACTCATTGATTCTTGACATGCAATCATAAATAAAATAAATACAACTTATGTTTGAAATACAAATTTTATGGACACTTTTATATATATATCGCACTATACACCTTTCGTATGGAACTTTGTCAAAAAAATTCGTCATCAGAGTTGGAATAACTATTAATTTAATTTATATGTTGTAAAATTGCTTTTTTCAACTTATTTTTATTGATTGCAATTCCAGTGTAAATGTTTTGGTGGTAATTTTTACCTCAGCCGCATGTAAGCTACTCTAGAGATTTTATAAAATGTTGAATCTATCTTGAAATATGATAAACTAAACAACCGTGATTAAAAACAAAAAAAAACACCAACAAAAAAAATTCTTAATCGTTAAAAATTTGACGATGTGGGCATTGATCTCCCGATTCGATGACTGATTACACATAATTCTTTCTCTACTTTAGAATAGTATCATCAAAAAAGGCCACACTATACTTATTTTTAAGATAAAGTTGGTGTATCTTTTT